CCCCCCGTGTCCTCTCCTGAGTTAAGCAGCTCCAGTTCCTTCACCTGTTCTCTGTGCGACTGCTGGACTCCTTGGATGCACCCAGGGTGAACTCCAGCGCACACTCCAGCGTGTCAGGGGTGTTCTGCGGCTGTGACACTCGTTCTGATAAAACCTGCAGTTCCACAACTTTTTCCACTGTCATGTGAAAACATGACTGACAGCTGGTGTTGAGCCTGAGGCCCACTGAAAACACCATGTCTTTGTTATATGAAGCGATACGAAGCCAGGGTTTTTTGTTTGTTTGTTTGGTTGGTTTTTTGGCGTCTCACTCTGTCGCTCAGGCCGGAGCTCCATGCACACTCACAGCCATCCCAGCACTGATCTGCTGGGCTCCGGTGATCCTTCTGCCTCAGCCTTCCAAGTGGCTGGAACTACAGGCATGCACTACTGCACCTAGCAAAAATTTTTTTTAAAAATTTATTGTAGAGCCAAGTTGCCCAGGCTGGTCTCCAACCCGTGGGGTCAGGCAATCCACTCGCTTCGACTTCCCAAAGTGCTGGGATGACAGGCTGAGCCACCAAGCCCAGCCAATGCCAAGTTTCTTCACCCCAAACTCATACAACTTATTCAACTTAATCGTGTCCCATTTCTCATCTAATGTCATCTTGATGGGGTTAACTCCAGGACTGTCCTGAGTTGCTGCTGCCTCTACTATACCAGCAATGCAGGTTGTTCCACCTCACATCAGGTGTTTCTGATGCCTTCGTCCCAATCAGTGATTGAAAAATATAAAGCTGAGTATGACAGGGCCCTGTGACGTATCAACAGAGACCAAAATCACACCCATTCAGCTGTCAACAGCTCATTTTTATTTTTATTTTTTGAGTTGGCATCTCATGTCATCCAGACTGGAGTGCAGTGGCACGCTCCCGGCCACTGCAGCCTCGACCTGCTGGGCTTCGGCGATCCTTCTGCCTCAGCCTTCCAAGTAGCCGGAACCACAGGCGCGTGCTACCACGCCCAGCTAATTTTTGCTTTATTGTAGAAGTGAGGTCTTGCCAAGTTGCCCAGGCAGGTTTCGAACCCGCGGGCTCAGGCAATCCACTCATCTCAGCCTCCCAAAGAGCTGGAATGACAGGCTGAGCCACCGAGCCCAGCCTCAACAGCTCACTTAATTATCTGAGTAGATGTCTGGGTAGCACACCATCAAGGCCATGAATCTTTTACCCACGAGGCTGCTGGAAGCCCTTTCAGGGGCCAGTGTATCCTGCCAACTCCACCCCTCTGGCCCAGGGAGGTGATGGCACCATCTGAAGGGGAATGAGATCAGGGCCTGGGGACCCAAGTGGGTTACCAGTGGTCACCCCCTTCAAGTACACAGAAACCATCCGGCTGCCTGTACGCACTGAACTTGTTGAAAACCTACAACTTTCCCGGGTTTTGAAGATACAAGTTCTACTTTGCAGAAAGCCGGGTGGCTACTTTGGGGTGTGTCAATCCTTCCCTTTGAGACTCCCAGTGGAAGTGAAGTTGAAACCATCTGGAAATCGGCTCAGAGCGACAAGGCATGCATGTGGAACCAAGAACTTGCCAACACTGAGAAACCTAAGACAGGGCCTAGTCAGAAACAGCAAGTGGCACACATTTCCTTCTCTGCATTAAAACCAACTTCCGACATGAAAAGTAACCTTTATAAAGGAACGAGGAGTGTGGCCGTACTTAACACCATTTTTTATTTTCGTTTTTTTTTTTTTTAATCTCAGACAAGTCATAACATTTTGGTTTTATTTGTTGTAGAGATGAGGTCTCCCAAGTTGCCCAATCTGGTCTCGAACCTGTGAGCTTAGGCAATCCTCTCACCTCAACCTCCCAAAGTGCTGGGATTACAGGCATGAGCCACCATGCCTGGCCTTTGTTTTTTTAAGAGACAGGGTCTTGCTCTGTAGCTCAGGGTGGAGCAGCTCACTGCAGCCTCGAACTCCTGCCTCAAGGGAGCATCCCATCTCAGCCTCCCGTGGAGCTGCTCTCCACCTCCCAGTGGTGCACCACCACGCCCGGTTGCTTAATGCCATTGTTGATCCAGTGACTGTTGCAAGCAGGCAGTTCAAACAACTTGACCAGTCTGGAAACCCCCTGGTCTGCCCAGGTCATCTTCGCAGAAAAGCACGAGCCCCTGTGCTCTGACGAGCTCTCGAGAGCAGTTCAGCCCTGGGAAGCGGAGCCTCTGAGTTACTTGGCGACTCTCCGCAGTTCACTCAGGAGCCAAAGAGCTCCGCTGAGCAGAGCCAAGGAGCCTGCCTGGTGAGTGGCCGCCAGAGGCGTCGGGACGTATGTGAGCAGAGTGCTGATGCCCAAGGCCACCTGTCGTGGAGGAAGGACAGCAGTGAGCGAAGCAGTGCCACGCGCTTGCTCAGCGGAAAGCGAGTGGACGCGGGCGCCAGGTGCACGAGGCATACGTGCCCCAGTGGAACGTGTAAATGTGTGCATGGGCTTCAACTGCACAGGCACGCACGCGTGCAATGGAAGAAATCAGAAGAAAATAGACCTAAAACTCCCCCACCCCATTTCAGTAGTCACCAGTTTCCACACACACTTGACTTTTGTATAAATGTTGACAAATGCAGTTTTGTGCTTTTAGAGCATACACTGTTCTGTCACTTGCTTTGTATAACAATATACAGTATGTCCTAAGATCTTATTTTATTTTCGATTCAGTCTCCCTCTGGCACCAAGGCTGGAGTACAGTGGCACGATCATGGCTCACCACAGCCTCAACCTCCTAGGCTCAGGCAATCCTCCTGCCTCAGCCTCCCTAGTAGCTAGGACATGCCCAGCCAATTTTTAATCAATCTATCCTTCCTATCTGTCTCTCTACCTACCTACCTACCTACCTGTTTTCTATTTTTGAGTCAGGGTCTCACTCTGTCGCCCAGGCTGGAGTACAGTGGCATGCTCGCAGCCACTGCAGCCTCAACCTGCTAGATGGACCCAGGCAGATCGAGCCTCCCGCCTCAACCTCCCAACTAGCTGGGACTACAGGTGCACCACCACACCCAGCTTATTTTTTGACTTCTGTTGCAACAAGGTCTCGTCATATTGCTTGGGTTGGTCTTGAAGTCCTGGGCGCAGGCAATCCTCCTGCCTCGGCCTCCTAAAGTGCTGGAATTACAGGCATAAGCAATCATGCCCAGCCCAAGATCTTTCTATGAACTGCTGTACAGTATCCCACATATAGATGTGCCATCGTTGTTTAACTATTTAGGGTGTTTCCAATTTTATGCTATCACAACTCTGTGATGAAATTCCTGATACAAACCTCTTTCCTGCATTAGACTACCACTAGGGCAAACAGGCCACAGGATTCTAAATTTAACTGTTTTTTTTTTTTTTAGTAGGAATCGCCCTGTGTCACCTGGGCTGGAGTGCAATGGCAGCTCATGGCCACTGCAGCCTCGATCTGCTGGGCTCGGGCTATCCTCCCGCCTCAGCCTTCTAAGTAGCTGCAACTACAGGCAGCGCTACTATGCCCACTTGATTTTTTGATTTATTGTAGAGACAAGGTCTCGCCAAGTTGCCCAGACTGGTCTTGAACTCCTGGGCTCAGGCAGACCTCTCACCTCAGCCTCCCGAAGTGCTGGGAGGATGGGCATGAGCCACCGCACCCAGCTTAAATGTAACATTCTAAAGAATATTGCCAAGTAACCCTCTGCAAAAAGCCACACCAACTCATGCTCTCCTCAAGAACATTTAAAGTACCCATTTCCCGTAGCCTTGCCAATACCTGCCTGTCTCATCCTTTCTCTAATTTAACACGTACAAAATGGTGCCCACTGTGGAAATCTGCCCCTCTCTGGCCCTGAGGCTGAACAGCTTTTCCTATTTACTGGTCACTTATCATTCCTTTTGTGAGAGGTGGTGCTGATATCCTTTGCTTACTTTAAGTTACTAATCTTTCAATCTGTTACAAGTACTCAACATCTTTCCTGCTGGTCTGTCACCTTTCAACCTGGTTCTGGGGACGTCAGCGCAGAAAGAAGTGGCTGATACCTGTGTGTACGCCAAGGCCAGCAGCGTCACTGCTGCCATCCTGGTCCTTCCAGGAAGGGGGATTCTCCGGGACAGGAAGTAGAGCACTGTGATGGCAGTGACGGAGGTAACTCCCTGCAGGGACGACAGACACGCGTGCTGGGCTGCCACTCACCTCCGGGTCTCCCGGAAGCACTGAGCAGCCACCACGTGTGCCACGCGTCACAGCACCACCTGCGATTCCACCCCGTGCGGAATCAGCTCCTCAGCTTCTCCTCAGCTTCTCCTCGTCCTCTCCTGCTTGCCACTCAGTGTCGGTGTCACCAGGGTACCCCAGGGCTCTGTGGGCGTCACTTCCTCCATTGCTCCCTGGCCCTGCCCACCTTCCCGAGTGGGTGTGCGCAGGCGTGCCCTCACAGATCACTGTCTCCTGTCCCCAAGCTCGCCTCGCCTCCAATCCTGTGCTCTTCAAGCAGGGCTGACCCAGCACACGAGGGTCTTGCTTCTCCCAGGCCATGCGTGGGGAGGGTGCTGGTGCTGCCCACTGGTGCCAAGCAGGATGTCAAGTCTCATTCTCGTTCCCACCTTCAGACAAGCCGCCAGGATGGCAGTAAGGTCCCCCCCATGATGGCAGGGAGACAGTTTTTCTATCATGTCTCCACCATTCTGACAATTCTTTTCCCTTTCAGAGCCATCCACAACGACAATTCCAATCTGACTGTAATGATGCCAAATCCCGTGTGGAGGGGGACTGAGCCCGCACAAGGCAGCTCGCCCTATGCCAGCCCCCCCCCGGGCATCTGAGTCCTCAGGGCCCCTCTCAGGACGCACCCCTTTCCTGACACGCCTCGATCCGGGGCCTTCCTCCCGTCTCCAGGGCTGCTGGCTGCGTTTCAGGCATGCCATGGGGTGCTCTGGGCCCGCCCTGTTCCGCCTTCCTGCGACAGCAGAGCTCACTAGCTCTTGTTCCCCTCCACCACTCCCAGCCGCAGCCTCAGGCCTCAATCCCTGCTGCTCCCTGCGTGGAGTGTCACTGTGCTCAGCACCACCCACCTTTCCCTGCTGGTTTAGGGCGCCCAGGCCCAGGGCAGGCCCGCAATATACTCGAATGCTCAGGCAAAATGAAAGGCACAGTGGGAGCGCCTGGCTCTCGGGGCTACGGCCAGCTCTACGTGTGCAGGCAACTGCGGCCTCTGCGCCCGCCCCCCACTCAGCCTCCCCTCCGACTTGACTCTCCAGGTGTGCGCACCACCTCATCTCCGGATTCTGAGGCTGACAATGCCTTGCGAGCTAGGATCCGGGAGTGAGGCAGAAGATGGGGACACCAGATGGAGGACTGGCCTTAGAATTCCTTCCAGAAGCACAGGGAACACAGGTCCCACTCTGCCCTCTCACTGCTGCTGTCAGTGCCTCACGGACACCCCAGAGCCCGCGGGAGGCTCCCAGCGCCCTCAGGCAGGTCACCAGCCACACTTACCAGGACCCGGTGGTCAAACTGCACCATGGTGGGGTTCTCAAACACATTCCTCAGGACAGGGGAGAAAGCAAGGAGGTCCTCTGGGATCCAGGAGTCTCCCATTTTGGGAAAGGAGTTGTAAACAAGCCCAGCATCCAGCCCTGCCACAAAAGCCCCTGGAGGCCAAGGTAAATGGTGTTGGTTGAAACGAGAGGAACAAAGGACCAACTGCTAGTTCTGACACAGAAAAACCTGATTATCCCCGAGTCAGATAGAAGAAACAGCCAGGCAGAACAGGCCCACACCAGGGGTTCTCACACTGGAATTCACATCTTGGTCACCACGGAGCTCAGAACCTCTGCATCCTCACCTACCGCCAGCCAGGACTCAGCCCCCACCCCCAGAAGTGGACTAGAAGCTCTGTGGGCGGCGTCAGAGCTTGGAAGACTCCCCTGGGTGACTCTGACGCCCTCCTCAGCTCACAGAGCCCTGCGATCTGTTTGGGAAATGCTCTCCCAGACGCCCGCAGGATGCTGGCCTCCACAGCTCTCCCCCACCTATACCTCACCAGGCCCCCCTTGAAGACCCTCCATGAAGCGGACCCACCCACCGGGCACCTTGTCCTGCTTCAGTCTCCTTCCCAGCCCGAGTGCCACCTGACGCATCATGTTTCCACCGTGTATTATCTGTCTTCCCTAAGTGCTCAATAAATGTTTGCTAATGAACAGAAATGAGAAAAAGCCCCAAACTTACCAACTAAGTCCTGATTAGCAAATAAAGCAGGTGTCCATGAATTGATGGATGCCTGATCCATTCATTATGATCCAAGAAGATTCAAAAAAGTTTGGGTCACATTCCTTATTTTTGCAAATATCACTTATGAAGTCAAAATTCATGCTCTTATACCAAAAATAAAAGGGAATGGCCGAATGTATTACTGGTTTTAACCAACGCTATTTCTGATCCAGAGCAGTGCCATCCGCTAGAACTTTCTATGAGCATGGGCGTGTTCTATGTCTGAGCCATCCAATACAACAGGCCGCTAGCCACAGAAGCATCTGAAATGCGGCTGGCATGACGAATAGCTGAATTTTAACTTTTATTTATTCTGAACTAATTAAGTTAAATAACCACACGAGGCCACGTATTCCTCTGTGGATATTGCAATTCCACAACGAGCGTGGCGAGGTGGAGGCGTGAACTGAAGAATGAAAAAACCCATGTTGGTCTCTCCACGCTAATGAACCCCGCCTCTGGCCACCTTGGAGGGCAGGTCTTTGGCCCATCCTGGTGTGATGCGGCACTAACGGCCTATGCCACGTGCCAGCTGCCATTCTAGGCACTCCACACACGCTACTCGTGCCACTGCCACCATCTCCATCTCACAATGAGGTCTTGTAGGCCCAGACACATTCCGCAGCTGGCCATGGTCATGGCGTTCACAGGTGGTGAAGCCAGGACTGAAGCAAGCAGTGGGGATCTGGGCAGATGCTCGGTGTTTTTGGTCAACCGACAGTAAAGAGGGAGAATCGGAAGGGAAAACGGAACAGAGAACGGGGTGAGCGTGGCGGATCTGAGAGAAACAGGAGTGAAGGGAAGTATGGAGACGGAGGAGGAGGGGTGAACATCGGGCACGAGTGCCCGCCATCCCTGACGGGGGGCGTCTACCTGAGAGCGCGGTGAGGAACACAAGCCCTGCTGCTCCATGCGCAAAGCGTCTCAGCCTCAGAAGCTGGCGGGTCTCAGGCAGCTACGTGAGAAAAGAAATCATTCCGATAAACCGTGCTGTTTCTGTAAACTGGACTATGAGAGACGTCAAAGATCTCCGAGGCCAAGGCCAAGGAACAACTGAAGACCAGATCTCCTCTGACCCGCAGACGAGGTTAAGTCTTCCCGCAGCTACTGTTCCAACATGTGCCGTATCTTATGGTGATAATACACGTCCCCGATGTCTTCCCTGTTCTCCTGTGAGTTGGATGAAGGCAGGGGCTGCCATGTGTCGTGCTGCAGCAATCTCAGCCTCGTTGTGACTGGCACGTAGGTGCTCATTACATACCTGTTTAACAACTAAATGACTTACACCATTCGGGGAAAAAGGCTTTCTGGTGGCTGAAATGATGTGGCTCTAGATACAGGACTAGATCTTCGCGCTGTGTGTGCTCATGCTCCGCAAATATCGTCATCATCAAAACTCACAAAACGCTTGGAGTGGAGATTGCTGCATTTAGTGTTTCTGGTAAAGTCAAGTCTGTTTTTACTACAGCCAACTTCTGATACTAATCAGTGAGTCATCAGACATTTATTTGGAACTCTACAAGCAGGTGACCACAAAGATACAAAGGAGTTAAGTCAGAACGCTGCCCTTCAGTGGTTCGCAATCCAGGCTATGCAGGTAGGTGTCCCTAGTAGCATACCATGGGACAGTGGACCAGCGCTGTCCAATATAACCTTCTGTGATGATGGAAATGTGCCATCACCTGTGCCTCCTGAGAGCTTAAGATATGGCTAGTGTGACTGAAAATTAAGTAAAAAATAAATTGCATTTAAATAAAAAGTTTAAGTATTTAAGTTTCATCTAAATAAAGTTAATTTTATTTCATTCACTAAAATTTAATAGCTATACATAGCTAGAAGTCAGTGTTGGACAGCGTGGCACTACACAGCTCATTGACTAGCACCCCAAATCCTTTTTGCAATTAGGTGGAATGGAAATAAAAAACAATTAATTAGGCCGGGTGCAATGGCTCACACCTGTAAACCCAACACCTTGGGAGTCAGAGGCAAAAGGGTTGCCTGAGCCCAGGAGTTCGAGACCAGCCTGGGCAACTTGGCAAGACCTCGTCTCTAAACAAACAAAACAAACAAACAAACAAACAAACAAACGTCAGGTGTGGTGGTATATGCCTGTAGTTCTGCTACCTGGAAGGCTGAGGTGGAAGGATCACCTGAGCCCAGGAGGTTGAGGCTGCGGTAGCCATCAGCATGTAGCTGCACTCCAGCCTGGGCGATAGAGTGAGACTCCGACGCAAAAAAACCCAAACCAAAACACGATTGAAAGGAAGCATCAGCAACCTTTAAGAGTAGAACTCGAGGAGAGAGAGTGGTGTATGTATAAGTGGGGGTAGATGTGTGGGTGTGTGTGTGTCAGGTTGGTGGCAAGGTGAGAACTGAAAGGAAAGAACGCGGTCTATCAGGAGTGGAAAGGAGGCCTGCCTTCAAGGTCAGGAGAACAGGAATTGGGCACCGTGGACCGTCTGCCGGACCAACATTCAATTCCATCTGGCTTCTCTGCAGGAACGGCTGCCAAGGCAACGCCTCCAGTCCTCAAGGGGCACAGCCACCAGCACCAAGCACCCATCGGGTGAGTCCACTTGAGAGTCCTCCTGGCACCTCCAACCTCTCTCCAGGAATGGCTTACGCAAGTCAGCCCATGACCTCAATCCCTAACAGAAGGCTCACTTTTTTTAAACACTAGGGAAAAGGTATCCTATAGGGGCGAGAAAAAAAGCCTCGAGAAAAGAGTCATGCCTTGCTTTTAATAAAGCATAAAATGTAAAAACTGGTATTTTCCTTGTATTGGCATTCAAGAAAAACACGTTTAGACAAAATCCCTGAGGCTGAGCACACCTTTAGACGTGAGGGCAGGCAAGCCTCACCCCAGGAGGGCAGGAGCAGCCCTGTCCTGTCCAGCGCCTTGCAATCCCGCCTTCTGCGAGTCAGAGGGAAGTGGCTGCTGGTGCACCTTCCGGCCCTTCTCCCTAAGTCAGCGTTTCACCTTGACAAAATATCCCGCTTCCACAAACCCGGCAACTCCGCTCCTGGATGCAGACCCAGAGAGCGGGAAGCAGGGCCCTGCGGGGACTCCCCGCCCTTACCCTGTGCCGAGGGAGCAGCAGCGAGAGCGAGGTCCACAGGCTGGCGCAGTAGAGCACGAGGGCAGATCCCAGGTGGGCAGCCAGGCGGTACTGACTGACCCGGGGGATGTCGTGGGAGTCGGGCTTCTCCTCCAGGCCACTCTTCACCATGTACCATCCCAGCAGGCCCTGAAACCCCGCAGAGAAGCACGTGAAACCCGGGGGAAGGGCGTCCCAGCCACTGAGAAAGCAAGTACCAGCACGCCCCGCCTGCCCCCTTTTCCATTCCCTCCCGCATACCCGGGCCCCAGATCGGACCGCCACCGCCACCGTTCTACATGTGTCACCATGAATACTTAACCGCTATTCAGAGTAACGTTTCATTGACAAAAATCCAAATACAGAAAAGTGCACAAGAGCATATTTGCATGCAAAATCTTGCAAATACCTGATATAATTTAATGTGAAATAAACCTGTGAAATATGAGAACAAAAAGAAGGTTGATTCTATGAAAAACAGATTGAATTCTTTGGAAAAATGTAATAAAGTAACTGCTTAAAAACAATTCCTGTCAAGTTTGGGAATAAGACGATTATAAAAGTTTTTTGGGGAAGTCATCAAAGTCTGTAAGGTTCTGCAAGCAGACTCCTTTGCAAATATCTAAGTCCCCACTCTTCTTTAAGGAAAATAATAGTTTATGTTCGAAGAGGTACTCAGAGGACAGTTGAACTCCAATCTGAGGATCACAGTCAAAGAAAAGGACTTTGCCTTGATTTTTAAAAGAGTATGCAATGAAAGTACAAGTTGAATTTAAAAGATTATATGTGTATCATACTCTATGATTCTCTGCTTTAACTGGCTTTTTTTTTAAATTGGGGTCTCACTCTGGTTGCCCAGGCTGGAGTGCAGTGGTACGATTATGGCTCACCACAGCCTCAACCTTCTGGGCTCAGGAGATCCTTCTGCATCAGCCTCCTGAGTAGCTGGGACTACAGATGCATGCCACCATGCTCATCTAGCTTTTGTTGTAGAGACAAGGTCTCACTATATCGCCCAGGCCGGTCTCGGATTCCTGGGCTCAAGTGATCCTCTGGCCTCGGCCTCCCAAAGTGTTGGGATTCCAGGCATGAGCCACTGCGCCCAGCCTAACTGGCTTTTTTCAGTGAACCAAAAAACTGTCAATTCCAGTCATATCAGAAAAGATACAACCCTTTCATCCCCACTCCCCCAACCCAGTAGAATCAGGTCAAAGAGCTGGGATTCTGCCACTTCTAAATACACACTCTTCAGGAAATCTTTCTGGACATTTCTTTGTCCTAGAGATGACCCTGGATATCCTAATGTTACTGCCCAAGACAATGAAAGATGAAGCCACATCGAGGGGACTCACCAGCCCCCACCTTCCTCCTCCTGCAGCCCCATCTGACATCTTTCATCTTTGCCTCCTTAGGAGACTGTTTTTAGTGTTTGCTTTTTTTTTTTTGAGTTGGAGTCTCACTCTGTTGCCCAGACTGGGGTGCAGTGGCGCGCTCCTGGTCACCGCAGCCTCAACTTGCTGGGCTCTGGCGATCTTTCCGCCTCAGCCTTACAAATAGCCAGAACTACAAGCACATGCTACCACGCCCAGCTAATTTTTGATTTATTGTAGAGATGAGGTCTCACCAAGTTGCCCAGGCTGGTCTTGAACCCGTGGGCTCAGGTAATCCATTCGTCTTGGCCTCCCAAAGTGCTAGGATGACAGGCTGAGCCACCAAGCCCAGCCTAGTATTTGCGTTTATCCTTCTAAAATATTAACTTTTGACTGCAGTAGGACTTTTCATGAGGGAAGATAGAGTAACCTGAGTTTTGTTGCACCTACCTTTCCCTGGTTATTGTTACATGTTTATCAGCCTCTCCTTAACCTCTTCTAATTAGCTAATTTTCTTAACACTCTGATGAATCAGCCAATTAGCTTACCCCATTCCAGTTTTTGATGCTGTTTCTTTGATACTTGATACCATTCCTCAGGACTTCTATAGCTTGACCTAAATCCCCTTCGTGTCGTCTCTCTGAATTCCTTTTCTCGGCTCTGTTTCACCCAACTTCTTGACTGTGGGAGTCGTTCCTTGAGAAGAGTTCAACTTGCGTGACTTTAATCGCCACTTGCACCTGATTATCTCTCAGTTACCCCTGTACTCTAAGACTCTCTATCCCATGAAATGCTTCTTGTGGAATTCTCCTTTGCTTCAGTGGCTACTCTAGCAGAGACCCCCTGTTCCCACAGCAGACCAGTTAGAAAAAGGGAAGAGACGAGAACCCAGAACAGCCACAATGGGAAGAAATTCTACTTACTGTGGCACGTGAAAATATACTGCAGCACGCCTACTGATTCCAGGCACTCAGCTGAGCACTTCATCCACATCATCTCACTTAACATTCCCACAACCCTAAAGGGCAGTCGCTAGCATCATCCCCATTTGCAGGTCAGGAGGTCACAGCTTACGGAGGGTAGACGGTCAGCCCTACATGGCAGAGCTGGTCCAGGCCTGCGGCACAACACGTGCTCTTCCTCTCTGTTATAGCACCTTGGAGACCACATCCTTAAAAACATCACCAGGAGGGTCCCAGGAGCACCTCGGCCTCCCAGCCCCGAACAAACCTCACCTGGAAGCAGACTAAGCCACAGAGGCCAAGAACACGCCCCTTCATGCCACGGCGGAGCCAGCCCTTTCTCCAGAAGTAGGCAGCAGGCAGGATGTACGCGAGGCCTACCAGGCGACCCCACATTCGGTGCGAGTACTCCATGTACCAGATGAACTTGAATTCCGCCAGCGTCATATCGTGATTCAAGCTAGGTGGAATGGGAAGTCGAAGAAGAAGAAACATTGTGTGAGTTTTATTTTCCTGTGGAATGCGGACATACTCTCAGTCTGGCAGCTTGGCAGTTCCTCAGCAGCGACTGAAGGATGACCAGATTTGGATGCTAAGGACAGGTACTTGCGAAATATAGCTGAGCCAGAGATCAGGAAATAAAGGGATCCGACCACACTGGAGGGCTGAAACAAGCAGAAGACTGTACAGCCCTGCAGGGAGGGTGATCTGATTTCCCCCAGTACTTACATTTTAAATTCTGGAAACTGCTGGTATCTGTGGAATTCTGCCTCCCATTCCTCTTGGCTTGTGGGTGGCTTCATCTCCTTTATTAAATGCCAGTCTACCATGGAGAGGCCGGACTCTGTCAACCTGAGGGTAGGAAAGGAATTGTGGGATGTGTGAGTGATGCAGGATCACTCCCGAGGGCTTACAGCAGCACACAGATCTGAACCCAACCCTGCTACAGTGAACACCCGGCTGCACTGCTTCCTCTGGGGACACACTTCTCTCTTACTGCCTAGAATTCTGTCAGCAACAGCTGCTGTCAGGTTCGAGTTCCTTTACCTATCTTTCGCCAATCCTTTCATTCAACTCTGTCCACCTCTTCCTTCCACTAGCATTCCCTGACAGGTGAAACCACCCCTCGACCAAAGAAACGTGTCCTGAATGCAGAACCGACATTCTTGACAGGAAAGAGATGTGCTACAGGCATACAGGTTTAGGTTCTTGCACAAATTTAAAGACAGTAAAGCTCAAGCTTGTTGCAGCTGCCCATACCAGCCTATATAACACAAGGTATTTTGAAAAAAGGATGGGGAATGTGAAGAGGACTTGAGGAAGGCACGCTCTACGAAAACGCGAGGTCTTTTCACTAAGAGGAGATGGGGTTCTAAAGCAAAAGGTGGATCTTAGGCCTCAGGCAGAAATATTCACAATGAGCCTGGAAGGTCTTGTCATACCAGGAAGCAATCTAAGGTAGCAAGGACCTGCCAAAAGCCACCAGACCCAACGCCAAGGGATTCCCACCAACTAAAAGATGGCATGATTTGAGGAAATCATCACCACTACCATACAGTGGACTGAAATGCATCAAATGTGTTTAAACCTGTGAGTTCATAGCCACACTTAACTCAAGCACTTTGTTACTGCTGGAGGATCTTGGGAACAAACTTACTATTTTTAAAGCTGGCAAATAAAAGGAAAGACAATGCAAGTATTGCTCTTGTCTTTCCTACACAAACTATACCTTGGGATAACCAAATTGTTGAGGAAGGCAAGTTTTTTTTTTTTTTTTTTGAGTTGGAGTCTCACTCTGTCGCCCAGACTGGAGTGCAGTGGCCGCTCCCAG